ATATGCGTCATCTGAGCCAGGCCAGATGTTCCCATTTTTTTTCACTGGGCCAAAAATGTAGCGTTCGACTCGCTGACAAGCGGATTTTTTGGAGGTTCGCTGGTTGTACAGTAAATTGTTCGTGTCTTGGTAAAACGTTACAAGCGGGGGATTTATTTTCTCTCTCTCTGTTCGACTCGCAATGGCTTCCTCCCTTGGCCTTTAAAACTTCCAGCACAGCTGGTGCGCGCTGGCGGGCGGGCGGGTGGGAGTTTGCCGGTCTCCGCGGAGGAAATGTACAGTGCAGCTACGGGTCACGGGACTCTCCTCTCCAGGCTCAACACAGCGATCTCTCGTTCCGGTGTGCGTACGGCACACGTGCCCAGAGAGAGAGAGAGACACAGGTCACGGGACTCTCCTCTCCAGGCTCAAGGCAGCGATCTCTCGTTCCGGTGTGCGTACGGCACACGTGCCCAGAGAGAGAGAGAGACACAGGTCACGGGACTCTCCTGTCCAGGCTCAAGGCAGCAATCTCTCGCTCCGGTGTGCGTACGGCACACGTGCCCAGAGACGGAGATAGGCACCAGCTCGCAGAACCACCGTTTGCTATGTGCGCACACATTGGACTTATAATTTGACGGCCAGGTCAATGCACCTTTGGGGTACGGGTGGGGAGAAGGAGGAGGGGGGTCAGTGGCACATTTGTGCAGCGCACGGGCGGTCTGAACCCGGCGACTCAAATTTGATTAACTATCACGGCTAACACCATCACTGACGTGGTTGTGGGGGGAAGTCTTCATCCAGCAGTGGATTATTGACAGGGGGGGGGGGTTGTAAGTCACCCATTAATATTGAGGGTAATTGCCACCGTTGATTTATATCCACATTTTATCTGAGCATAAGACATGACCAGAGAAAAAGTGGTCTCCGGAAGTGCCGAATATTTTGAACTTATTTCGCACCGTACGTAGCCAATCGTGCTAATCGGAGGTTGCGGGGCAGGTGTGTGATGGGCAAGGGACTAAACGCAACAACAGGGCAGATCTGCACTAATCCGTGGAATAGAGGAGTCAACCGGACTGCGACGGAAGATTATCCGCAATGTTCGCAAATATCCAGCCGCACGGATAATAACTGTGGAGTTTCCCCTCGGTAAATGTGCATAGCAGGATCTGCTAATATCGTCCAATACATCATGGGTAATATGAGTTTCACTGTACTGTGAATGAAATAAAAACCAAACAAACATTCGTTCTTTGGTGTACCCACTATAACATTATTATAAACGCTGTTGAATACGCTTTAACGTTGTCGTAATGTTTATTTGAAGGTATTTATTTTAAAAAGCAAGCTGACCGACTTGTAATGAGAATTTGTTTTATATTTTAGTGCTCCGCTATTTATCTCTCTGCTGTGAAAATAATTCTAACATTTGTCTTTTGTTTTACTTTGAAACGCGCAGTCTGTTGCGCTTTTAACGAGAAACATTTCCGTTGGTTATTTTTGACGGGACTGATTAGTGAAAATGTAAAAATTGAGCATCAAAGTTGAGTAATTATACTTGTCGACTGCTGTAATCACAAATTATGTCCTCCTGTTCCATAACTTTACACGAGGGATTTTGTAAATATATTGCGTATATTTTTTTAAGCTTGCCCTGTTTCTCAATTTTTTCCTTTCCCCCCCCCCCCCCTCCGCGCTCGAGTAGATTAGACGACGTGCGGTTTCCTCTTAGGTATTTTTATGTAAAGAGTACTTCGATGTCGCGGGATGAACTTTGTGATTCGGGGATGCGATCTTAAAAACGGCATGTAGTAATCGCGTTCGTTTCAATAGTGTTTGTGAAAAAAGGCTTGGACACATTTTTTGGCCGGGTCCACTCTTCAGTTTTCTGTACCTCAACGAAAAAAAGAATAAACTGGACGAGGAATGTCGTGGTGAGAGCGGTGAGATTAGCGTGGTGTGCGGCTCGGTGAGAAGTCTTCCAAGTGTGTCATTCGGATTACTCTCAAACGTGACTCACTCCGCAGACAGAATTTCCCTCGCCGAAAAAAAAAAGAATCGCCACTACAAGGGTTAAATATTGAGCAGTGACTACAATCGGGCACTGTAAATGTCAAAGTGTCGTGAGTTCCTTCTAACGGCCACAGCCTTTCCGTTTCATTTCCATATATCCGCATTACGACATTTCAATTAACAACGGGTGAATTTAATTTCCAGCTCCATCCCCGGCAGTTAACTCGGGTCATGGTGGGTCAGTCTCTATGCGTAGTGGCGACCAAATGAGAGAGGGGTTTTTTACTGGTAGGAACGAAGTTGTAAACTGAGTGTACCAGCCTGCAATAGATTAATGTGCCCGTCCGTCCCCTTTCAATACTTTAACGAAGTGAAATCTCGTGCTGTTGGGTGTAAAATCAGCAATAGCCAGCGCAGAGACTTGATATGTCTTATTGCACCCAACATTTGGAAGTAACAATGTCATAAAATTGCGCAAAATTCCAATGTTCCTACCAGCCCACCCTGCAGGGACCTGTTGTTGTTGCGTGCTCTAAGATCGCGAAGCCAGCCAGCCCCGCTTCGCGTTGTCAGCCGTGACTCACTGGGCACGCAGGCCGGATAGCGGTCAGGAGGGCGCGGGCGACTCTTTGTGACGGTATGACGCTCACGGCGGTGCTTGTATGACAACGCTTTCTGATGCCTGCCTCTCCGCGGACACAAGACGGACGCTTTGGCGATGAATGCAGCGCACGGCCGTGATGAATAATTCTGGCACTTCCGTTACAATAAACTGTCGCAACTCCCCCATCTCCATCCCCAACCGGCTTGGCTGGGTTAATGGTTGTTTGTGGACTTATTTACTTTCCTCCCCGCTCGTGCTGTTTATCAGAGTTGTGCAGATTTTATGAGCGGAAGTGTGTCATTCTTTTAGTATATACAGTAGAGGTGGAATGATGCAATGGGGTGTCAGCGATTCATGTGGAGTGTTAGGCTCATGATTAATACAGTAAATCACGTATGTAAGATTTATTTTTTTAGATTCCTATATGTTGCTGAGCATGGTTGGTTTAGCACGGTTGATTAGCAGGGTTGCCTATGTACGGTGCAAACTAAGTTAGATATACAGGGGGTATAGGCTGCTTGCGGGGCTGCTGTGTGAGCAGCAGAGAGCAGCTCAGCAAAATCATTTGTTGAACTGTACTTTTCTCTTTCATCATGGGACCTCCTTTGCCAGTACCAAAATATGATGATAGAGTTTCCCCATTTTTCTGGTAAATGCTCACCACGAGCTCTTATTACTCTGATAGTGCATTGCCTTTGGGCTGTACGCTTTTTGGTGTCCTCTGGTCTCACACCGTTTGAGACGAGGCTCAAAAGAAAGCTGTCTCTGGTGTAGACCAATCAGTTTCAAAGACAATGCATACATTATCAGAGTGTTTTTTTTTGCATGACCACAAGCATTGTGGTTAATGCAGACATGATTCCTTGTAAAAGTTTCAGTTTGGTGTTTTAACATCTTAACACCTGTTTTTTTGCCAGAAAAAAGGGGAAAACCCGATTATCTTTGTTCTCTGCTCCCTGCTGCTCACCGATCCGCACTGAGCAGCCTGGTGTCAGTTATGGCCAAGTGAGCCCCATGGTCTGCACGGCACGTAGAAGCCCTCGCACACATGGATTTAAAAGTGCCTCGGTGGCGAGATGTTAACTACCTCGCCTAGAATACAGGAGGACGTGGGTTCGATCCCGACCCTGACGCCTGCATATTTGGAATTTGCATGTTCTCCCCGTGGTCGTGTGGATTTGTCTCCGGGTCCTCCAGTTTTTCCCTCCACATTTAGAATGAGCATGCGTTTAGAGTATTTGGCTGCTCTACACATTTTCACACGATAAGCCAGTTTAACACGTAGGCTTACAATGAGCCACTTCGTTGAGCTATCATTTGTGGCCAGGTCGCTTCTGAAAAAGAGCTACATCGCTCAGTGGACCCTTTCCTGGTGAAATCAAAATCTATTTTTAGCAAACTGCACGTGTAATTGATTTTGCTGCACCGCTTTTTGCTGCCCACCACGTACTCCCACAACCTAAAATACCTCTTTAATGTATGGCAGTACTCATCTACGACCTATCCATGCTCAAAACCTGCTTGGCTTCCAAGATCTGATTAATTATTTGGTGATAGTGATCGGGCGCATTCCAAACCGATTCGGTCATAGGCCACATCCGATGTACAGTTATAATAAGTCTAAGTAGACTTTGTTTCAAAACAAACAGTGTAGCCAGTATTGACCACAAATATACCAATGCTGAAATATTACCTCAAAATTACTCAATTGGGATTACACGTAGAAAATTGCCTCCTTCCTGAAAAATCTTGGCAGGAGCATCCTGAAAACAAGTCTTGAGGCTCGGTGGGGCTTTCCGGGGTAAATAGCATAACGTTTGCAAGAGTAACCAGAGTTGGTAAAAGCTACTTCGCAGACTGCTGTGTCTGACGTATCCACTTTGAAGAACCTCGGACCGAATGGTCACAGTGGAGAGTTCACGTTCTTTCCTGCATTGCCGTTTACATCCTGTGGTAAGCGCCGTGCGCGTGTATGTGTGTTTGCGGTTTGCGTGCGCACGTGTACAAACGTGCAAATGAAAATTGCTGCCATTCCACCACTGAGAAGATACATATCCCCCTTCGCCCACTGCCCTTTGTGTTGTGAATCCATATTTCAAAATCCCTGACATTGTGGCACATTTGGGAGAGATTAGGTCTGAGTTTTATTGCTAAACTTATTGGTTTTAATAAATGGTTAACGGAATCGTCTGCTCGTTTTTTTTTTCCGTGGGTTTGTTTTGAATGTTGTCTTTTGCTAAAAAGCTTCCGGCACATGGGTGGCTTTGATTTGCGTGGACCTTGCGATGCTCAGTCTTGTCGGGTCGCCACCCTCCTTCCTGATTCCCTGGATCATGGCTTTGCCATCCCCCTCCCCTTCCCTGTCCACCCCTACACCCACACCATCCTTGTGTTCCTGCAGAGGCTACGCCGCCAGTCGATGCGCTACCGCAGTGACCGAACCTACCCGACGACCTCCGGGGAGAACGAGGACAACATGCGCAAGAACCGCTACAAGGACATCCTGCCATGTGCGTTTGCGGCACGCTGTTAGTGCCCTACCCTCCTCCCCCTGTCACACGCGACATCTCACGTCTTTCACTCTCCGCCGACATCCTAATTCTCGGCCTCGGATGACCCGAGCGCGGGTCCTCTCCGCTTAATGCCTTGCAGTCGCTAAATGCTCACATGACCAAATCACCTAGAGTGCTCCCGATCTCGTCAGATCTCAAAGGCAAAGCGGGGATTTCAGCCTGCGAAGTGTTTGCAATAGGGACCATTGTGCATATACAGGTTGTTATAGGATGCTGTGGGGCTACGTGGTGGGCAGGAGAGGGTAGTGCAACAAAATCAAATGTGTACTGTACTTATGTGCTCCCACATCTATACTCACTGCCTTCACAAACCTGCACAAATATGGTCAGACTTCTCCATAACCTGCGGGATATTAGAGGTTCTTGGGCGATTTCATCATCGGTTCCTTACATATACATATACTTAAATATAAGTGTGTGGTAAGCCTTTGGGGGCAGTCCTCAGCCTCTGTTAAAGGGAATGCATTTAAAGGCTGTTGGCAATACTGTATATTTGCATTTAAATAGCCTCAGACGCTGTGTACTCTGAGCGGGCCCTAAACACATACCTGACCTCGTCCTGTTGGACTCCACTGTTCAAGTCAATGAAATACAAGTTGTTTTAGTGATGGCTTGGCGCCACTCCAGCAATTATGTCTGTTGGCTAGTGTCACCAAATGGGGTGTAGGGCAGATGTGATGTTGAGCTCGTTGGGTGTGTGAGTAAATGGTGTTGCGGTCTCAAAGCTGGTTAACATTGCCTGTACAATACGCTGCCGTATTCACACACAATCGGTTGAAATTCACCTACCATTGCAAAACAATCATTACGATAATAGTATTAAAATTGGGGACTTTGGTCACTGTTAACAAATTAACAGCTTTTACACCAGGTGTTCACAGCATAACGGGCAGCGTGAAGTTAGTTTCCTACGCCCGTAAGTGTTTTACGACGCATATTGGACTAATTTTCACCAGTCCAGTTCTTCCTGCAATTCTTCCTCTGGATTTTAACGCGGCAGTTCACGCCAAAATTTTAAATGGGGAATTCTGAAAGCGACAAAATAAACGTAATTTCGCAAACGCTACCGTGGACAATCTGCCAGACAAACGACAAATAACAGCGTTCCAAAAATATTTTTGGCAACGTTTACTCGCCACATACGAAATCATTTCTCACACTGATTACGTAAGGTTGGCACCGTGGTGGTGTTTACGGAACGTGGCTCTTGTTGTCTCGTTAGAACGCCATGGTGCAAAATGCCATTACGCGCATGCTTTTCAAATGTACACGGTACCTTCTGCGGAGTTTTATCGTAATGCCAGTCCTAGGACAACCCCCAGGGACGCATTTGCCGAGCCTCTGGATCCATAGTGCGCCATACGCCCACGTGCATGCCCTATGAACATCCGTCCAGCATCGTGGAAATGTCCCTACCACCGAAAATAAACCCCTTGTTGAGCCGAGGCCAAGCGCAGCCTGACGTAGTTGGTTTCGTTCGTGTCATAATTTAAGACGTCCTTTGATGGAGCAAGGTTTGATTTGCTTTCATGTTGCGTAAGTTTTTGCACGTTCCAAAAAAAAAGCCGTCAGTTGTTCTGCCAGAGCACTGCTGCCCGCCACACGTGCAGAACTTGAACTGAAAGGGCGCCCCCTCTTTAACCGCTGCCAGATTTCTAAATCCTTTCCCAGCCACATTATTTAAATATCCATAAGAACTTAATTATATGAATATTGAAGGCAGAGCAAGCTTCTAGCTCTTTGCAAACAATTCCCCATTGCATCCGTGGGAGCTGAGTAAATGAAACATGGGGTGTGGTGTAATTCATGAATTTCGTTATAAGTGACTTCATTAGAATAAGATTTATTTTACTGCTGTTGAATGTTAAAGAAAGAGCACCGGTCTATAATCATATGAAAATGTTTGCACGAGTCTCAACAGCGAGTGAAATATATTGAGTGCTGCTTGCATTACGGGTGTATGTTTTAACGGTTACGCGTCTGTTTCCCGATCATGGCTGTGTGCGTGCAGTTGAACACAGTCGAGTTAAATTAGCCATCCAACTCCCTGCTGTAAACTCTGATTACATCAATGCGAACTTCATAAAGGTAAGAAAGAGAATTCTGATTTTAACGTACAATTATAGCGTGTCCTTGAAATACCACGTTCATTCAGCGTTGGGGTGTCCAAGTGCATGTGTGTTCGCAGCAAAACCCCATTATTTATGTGAAGGACAAATTTAGCCCATTAACAGCGATTAATGTTCCTTACAAGAACCACTATCCAGGCTCAAATCCCTGCTTAGCTTCAGCGATCTGATGAGATCGAGCGCTTTCTGAGTGATTTGGCCAGAGGCAGTCGACCATAACTCGTGCCGACATTAGACCTTGTTTTCTGACTCCCACGCAGCCCCTAACCCCCCCCCCCCCCCAGCGTAGCAGCAGAGGGAAAGGGGAGTGCAGCGGGCAGGGGAGACAGATATTGGGTGTGTGACCCCCAAGTAGCCGCTTTGCTCAATGAGACTGGGGATGCAGATCTGGACCCTGGTGCCATTCCTGGATCGTTTCTGGCCTGGCCAGTTCCCAGTCGTCATGGCAAAAGAGTTTCATCCAAAATGTTAAATGTTTGTTAACGATCTGGGAAGAAATTACAGACAGTTCAGCATTAGTTTGTACAATTTTTGCACGCTCAGCGCCTGAATAAAAAGGTGCCCTGTTGTGTCTCAATAGGTCTCAAGAAACGAGTCTCTTCTTAGGGCTTATGGCAGAGGAATACATTTGAGTTTTCTACTTGCAATCTTTTTTTGTAAGGGTGGAAAACTATTTTTACTTCCAGCGTTGGATTTAATTTGTTACTTTTTGGACAAGCTGAAATGCCTTACCATCGGCATGAATCGTTCAACACCGCGCTAAGGAATCACGTCCCATATGTGTAGAGTTAAAGCCTCAATGCTGAGCTTAGCTCTTTTTTTTTGCCCGGCACCCTGCTCACAAAGATTTTTTTTTCCGTAGACTTAAAACATTTTCGTAGTGCATTGTTTGGGTGAAATATATTCTGGTGGCATATTTTATATAATGCTATATTTTATTTATTTATAGTGCCACATCATAACCGCTTGTGTATTGCTTTCTGAAGCTTTGTTTAGTTATAAAAACATTGCAAAGCACAGGATGTTTAACCATGCTAAGTGCCCTGTGAAACATGAAGCCACCTCACTGGAAATGGTAAAAAAATGTGTCCTTGGAAGTGCATGTTTTCCTTTGTGCTGTGTATTTGTGCGTTCCTGTACACCTATACATTACATGGTGTAATAAATGCATATTGCGAGTGGGTGCTTTGATATATGATGCACAAATGCACGTGGATTCTGATAGGTGCATGGTGTGTTATGGCCTTTTTTACTGTAAAGCCACTTACTGGGGTCGGTGGAGCCTGAAAAATAAAAGTACATAAATACCTTTGTTACATGTAATAACGAGGTCAAATTTAATTAATTCCGGTATAATTTTAATAGTGTAATGGCTCACTCGTGAAATGGACTTTTTCCAGTTTGCTTCATTCAATCATTGGTTAATGGACACCTGCGTAAGAGTTTACCACGCTACTGCTGCTTTAATAAATGACCGCTGTCATGGTCTGTATGCTGTTTGTGCAAACGGCCACTCTACTTTGTTTACCAAAGTGTGATTGTGAAGCTTACATTGACCCTTGAAGGGGGCAGTGCTTTACCAGGGGTAGGAAATAGTATAGAATCTGTCAGTTTTTATTTCTTTGTCATGATTAATTGATTTTAAATAAATTGTTACATTCCGGATGCATCCATCGATTGTGCAACTAAGAATCATTTACTATTAGTACAAATTGCTTGGCGGATGTTCTTTTAGGATATTGGAAAGCACAAGGCATAACAAACAAGACAAACCGACGAGACAAACAATAAGACTAAGAAGAGTTAATTATTGCATCAATTCATAATAGCACGTACAAACCAAAACAACATATGAGACAGAAGACAGAGAATACCAATGCAACTTAAAACCAAAACAAAATAATTAATTCTGGAATTGAATCGTGACCCTGAAACCTTGCAATTCGTTTAATGACTTAATCCCAAGGGAAATCATGATACAGTATGCCTCGTAATTATTAAAAATGCAAACAAATTACGATGATTTTATAACTGTGTATTCGGTGTCGGTGGTTGGGAGGTGGGTGCTGAGCTCTGCTTACACGAATCCAACAAACCAACCGAGCCCAAATTAAATTGTTCATCCTGTTCACGTGCCTCGTTATAGCAGGAACGTGGCACTCTTCCAACGCCGAGCGGAACGGGCTGATTTCAGTCGGTACGCCAAGGTTTGTGAGAAGGCTGCACAGCGCCAGCCCTGTTACCAGAGTCACGCGTGCCAGCACAGCCAGTCTTAACAAACACGCGCACACTTCCGCCACTTTCGTACGGCGTGACACGTGCCAAAATACCAAGCCTTCCGAAACAAGCTTGTAAAGGCAGGCTCGCGTGCTCAAGCAGTGATTTCATGAGAAAAAAAGAGAATGGACTGCATAACATGCTATTATTTGAATTCATACGGCGTCTCAAATCGACCAATTCTCAAGATGCTGTAAATTAACAGTGGGCTTATTTATTGTGAGGAAGCAGTCGGTCATAGGCCTCGGTGAAAAAAGGGGGGGTTCTTGAACTTAATATGAAGAGGGTAGCGAAGACCACAGCACAGGTGACTGGGAGAAATAAGTTCCAGAATATTGGGGCAGCAGAGGAGAAAAGCCGAGAACTGTTTCATTGCTCGTGGCAAAACTTTTTATCAAACAAGCAAAACATTTTACTAAAACCAATATTAATGTTCAGAATTTCAATAAACCAATCTCTTTTGCTTATGAGTGAATTAGCATCTACAGTGAGGGAAAAAAAAAGTATTTGATCCCCTGCTGATTTTGTACGTTTGCCCACTGACAAAGAAATGATCAGTCTATAATTTTAATGGTAGGTTTATTTGAACAGTGAGAGACAGAATAACAACAAAAAAGTCCAGAAAAACGCATGTCAAAAATGTTATAAATTGATTTGCATTTTAATGAGGGAAATAAGTATGTGACCCCTCTGCAAAACATGACTTAGTACTTGCTGGCAAAACCCTTGTTGGCAATCACAGAGGTCAGACGTTTCTTGTAGTTGGCCACCAGGTTTGCACACATCTCAGGAGGGATTTTGTCCCACTCCTCTTTGCAGATTTTCTCCAAGTCATTAAGGTTTCGAGGCTGACGTTTGGCAAATCGAACCTTCAGCTCCCTCCACAGATTTTTTTTATGGGATTAAGGTCTGGAGACTGGCTAGGCCACTCCAGGACCTTAATGTGCTTCTTCTTGAGCCACTCCTTTGTTGCCTTGGTCGTGTGTTTTGGGTCATTGTCATGCTGGAATACCCATTCACGACCCATTTTCAATGCCCTGGCTGAGGGAAGGAGGTTCTCATCCAAAATTTGACGGTACATGGCCCTATCCATCGTTCCTTTGATGCGGTGAAGTTGTCCTGTCCCCTGAGCAGAAAAACACCCCCAAAGCATAACGTTTCCACCTCCATGTTTGACGGTGAGGATGGTGTTCTTGGGTTCATGGGCAGCATTCCTCCTCCTCCAAACACGGCGAGTTGAGTTGATGCCAAAGAGCTCCATTTCGGTCTCATCTGACCACAACACTTTCACCCAGTTGTCCTCTAAATGATTCATATGTTCATTGGCAAACTTCAGACGGGCATGTATATGTGCTTTCTTGAGCAGGGGGACCTTGTGGGCGCTGCAGGATTTCAGTCCTTCACGGCGTAGTGTGTTACCAATTGTTTTCTTGGTGACTATGGTCCCAGCTGCCTTGAGATCATTGTCAAGATCCTCCCGTGTAGTTCTGGGCTGAGTCCTCACTGTTCTCATGATCATTGCAACTCCACGAGGTGAGATCTTGCATGGAGCCCCAGGCCGAGGGAGATTGACAGTTCTTTTGTGTTTCTTCCATTTGCGAGTAATCGCACCAACTGTTGTCACCTTCTCACCAAGCTGCTTGCCAATGGTCGTGTAGCCCATTCCAGCCTTGTGTAGGTCTACAATCTTGTCCCTGACATCCTTGGAGAGCTCTTTGGTCTTGACCATGGTGGAAAGTTTGGAATCTGATTGATTAATTGCTTCTGTGGACAGGTGTCTTTTATACAGGTAACAAGCTGGATTAGGAACACTCCCTTAAAGAGTGTGCTCCTTATCTCAGCTCGTTACCTGTATAAAAAACACCTGGGAACCAGAAATCTTTCTGATTGAGAGGGGGTCAAATACTTATTTCCCTCATTAAAATGCAAATCAATTTATAACATTTTTGACATGCGTTTTTCTGGATTTTGTTGTTGTCATTCTGTCTCTCACTGTTCAAATAAACCGCCCATTAAAATTATAGACTGATCATTTCTTTGTCAGTGGGCAAACGTACGAAATCAGTAGGGGATCAAATACTTTTTTTCCCTCACAATACTTATATGTCTGTGTGCAGATTGGTAAGCCAGGAAATGTCTTCAGCTGATTTGCGGTGGATTGCTTCAATGTCTCCGTTGAACTTTCGGAGTTCACAGTGGTTCATTGCCTATGTGGTCGACGGTCAGGTCATTGTTTCGCGTGCTGGGTTTTCTTGGCATGGCAAGACGGCAACAAACACGCACGCGCGATACGTCACTGAAACACTGTTTGCATGGAGTTGGCTGACGACGTGTGTGTGTGTGCACATGCGTGTGCGTGCATGTGAGCAGGGCGTGAGCAATCCGCGGGCATACATCGCCACTCAGGGCCCCCTGCCACATACACTCGTCGACTTCTGGAGCATGCTCTGGGAGCACAACGTCAAGGTACCTCCACATGCGGCCATTGGCTGGCCTTGCTTACATATGTATGTTCGTTTAACTTCTTTCGCACCGTACCTAGCCAACCATGATAATTGGAGATGCGGGATAAGGACAACACATTGAACACAAAGTTCTAAAGGAATTCGTTTTCAATTTACATTTCAAAGGGACATCCTAATATCGAAAAGAAGAGCGTTCCAAAGGGCCGCAGAAGCGCATCTGAGAGCACGATACAGTGACCATCTTTTTTCAATGGTTAGCCAAAACTTTTATGGTTACGATGACCCCTAACACGGTAGAACTCTTCTCATCCCTGGTGAAGCGGGGGAGGCGCTGTTGTCAAGGGCTATATTTCTCCATCAATGCAGCCATCCAATTCCAGCGGGGTCATGAACGTGTGCGGAAAAGGCTTCGGAGGCCCACCCCTGCCCGCTGATTTACCCCACCCTTTACCCACAATCTCTCCCACACTTTTCATTGCTGGGTGCTGTGGGTTTAAGCCACTTTCGTAAAAACTTAATTCAAAGTCTTAGTGTGTTTATCCATGGAAATTGCTCCTGTTATCCATGCATCTGTCTGAGTAAATATAGCCATAAGGATGAATTTACTAAATCTTGGGAGACACTGCTGGTGACTCCTTATTCGCAAGTGCATTTTAACATGTACAGCCTTTTGTAAATCCACTATAAATAATCATCAACAAACACTCAATTGAACATGATGATGTTTTTTTTTACTGCAAATAAAAGCATACTATTTCAATATATTTCTTGTTTATCTGCCAGTTTACATTTACAGTACATGAATGGAAGGAAAATATATCAGATGTCACATGACTTCACACAGAACACAACTCACTCTGTCTTTTGTCATGGCATGAATTCCACATCCTGCCACTTAATTCTTGTTTGAAATTGAGCAGAAGCTTTCCTTAGCTGGTAACAACATATTTAAATGTTTTCTTATGAAACTGATTTTTTTAATACTATGATTTCAGGTGATCGTCATGGCTTGTCAAGAGGTGGAGATGGGAAGGGTATGCTTTTTTTTTACTAAACGCATTCGTCACTTAGGAATGATATCAGGCAAGGGGCAATTATTGATGCATTGTGTCAATGCATCGGGAACTCAATGTGACAATAATTAATTATTTTACACGTCGTTCAGATGTGCACATTCTCGCTTGAAAAAAAAAATCCACATGTCTGTCTGAGTGGCTCGGAGGCCAAGAGCCAGCACCGCTAAGATCGTGCATTTAATTAAAAGCAGTTACCTTGGAATTTTGATTTAAAGCTTTCGTGACTGCAGTGATTCATATTCTTGGTTCTTTCGGTAAAGTCACGTTGATGGGAAACAATACAATAATAAAAATATAAAACAATAAAATTATCACGACGTTTCGACTGCGACACAAGCAGTCATCTACAGGTGTGAAAACCAATGGCAAGAACATTTGAAAGAAGTGGCGATTTGTATTTATTTATTTACTTTTAAACGTTAGCGCCACGGATAGCGATTTGACAGTTTGTTTAGATGGACGAGTCCATCTATGTTCGGAAAAGAGGAGGGGGGAGACGAAAATAATAATGTATGCTGTCTGAAAGGCACCGTAAGCGTGAACAATTGCTAAGCCAGAATCCATCTTCTCGGTTGAAATTGTCTCTGTGTTTGTATATGTGGATAGCCTCATGAACGAATCTCTCATGGTAGCCAGATGGCTTGCAAAGAACCTCTGTCTTGGAGAAGTCAATGTCATGTGAGCCTACTGAATTATAACAGTGATCTGCCACGGCCGAGGTGTTGGTCCTACCATGTTTAAGGTCTGCTTTGTGTTCATGAATGCGGTCCGAGACATGTCGTTTGGTTTCTCCAATGTAACTACTACCACAGAGGCAACTTAGTTTTTAGACACCAGGGTACTGTATGTCCAGAATCACATCTTTTACAGACGGAACCAGATCACGGATTTTATGTAATGTGTTGAAACGGACCTGGATCTTGTGTTTATTCAAGATTTTGGAGATAGTTTTTGTGATCCCCGCAATGTAGGATAAAGTGATGGTTTTGAAAGGCTCCTCAAGAGGGTCCTTCTTCATGGTTTGAGTGATAGCTTTGCGGATTGTATCGTCCCAACAGGTCTGTCCCTTTCACCTGAAGAAGGCCACTTGTGTTGTGGCCGAAACGTCGTGAGAATTTTATTGTTTTATTTTATTATTCTGTTCTCATTCTACGTGACTTTACCGAAAGAACCAAAGAAGATGAATCCTTGCAGTCACGAAAGATTTAAATCGAAACCTTGTTTAAAGTGTGGGCGGTTGCCCAGATTTGCAACCCAGGAATTCAACAACACGTCGGAGCTAAATGCTCTGATGTTAGCCCTCTGAGCCACCTGGCCACCTCGCAATGTATGCATTCTCAACATGTGGCCTGCAGACTGCTAACACAGACCACCGACACACACGCACTTTTATTTAGTTTATGTCAACTGACATTTTTTTTTATTGTCAGTCAACCTGAATGAATGTTAAAATCTTGAGTCTTGCTATGCACCGACACTAATTGTTGTAAACATACGCTCTCGACTTGTTTATGTTTATGGCGCCACTCCTCCCCCACCATAAAATTTGAGTTCTGTACAGGATATGGTGGTGTGGTGGCTTCCACACTTGCACTACATTCCGGTGAGCTGAGCTTGATTTCTGTCCATAGCTAACATCAGTGGCGAGTGGTAACTGAACCAGTCATGGTCCCACCACCACCACCTGTTTCTTTATTTGCTGGAAGCTGTCTCGGCTATCTTAAAGGCCTTGTAACCCTGACTCATAATTTTTGACGCTGTGTGCATTGAGGTGGTTTAGCGATATGGCCACATGAAGGGCTCTGTGCTGGTCAACACAAGCGGATGGGCGCGGCTGTCAGTTCTCTATGCACATATTTTAAGACCGTCATTAATCGCGGAAGCGATGCGTATGCATTTTTTTTATTGCAGAAAAAGTGCGAGCGGTACTATGCCTTAACGCAGGAAGAGCCACTCACCCTGGGACCATTCACAATATCCTTGGTGAGTCTTTCTTCTTTAGTTCCCTTCCATCATCTGTTCGAGACGATGGGGCTGAATGAGATCTTTCCCACCTGTTTCTTTCTTGTACAAACTTCATGGCTTCCTTTCCTCTTGTGGCCCTTTTTGGTTCGAGGTAAATTTTCACTGTCAATCCAGCGCATCTTTGATCTTCCTGTATCTTGTTCCGTGTACTTTTTTGTGTAATGCCATGTTTGGTGTTTTTTTTCCGAATCGATTCTAGAAAGTTCTGCAGGGAAAACATGGGCCCATCGCAAGTCTGCCCTGATCACATGAATCATATTCTTGGATCAATATCCTTGAAAATAAAGTTGTTTAGTTCTCCGCTCGGAAATACTTGCAATGATATTCGTTGGTTTAAACTCGGCCAACCCTAGACCATAGTCCGCTGCCATATAACATCATAATAATAAACAAGAATGGTCTTTACTTATCGAGTGAAGCGCCACTGGTTCTGAGGATTATTTTCATCGTTAATTTTTTTTGTTTGGCCATTCGCCATTTGCATACGGATGGAATTTGGGTGATCTTGAGGAAAACCTGTGCATATGAGGGGATAACACTCAAATCTCCGCACAGATACATTCAAGAAACTCATTGCTTTACTGTCGTCTCTTGACCACTTTTTAGCCCAAGTCTACACTATCAGATATTCCCAGGAAATCTCCCATACGAGTATTGGGTTCATCCCAACAATTAGCGATACCCGTTAGGGTCATGGAATGTGATGCGGAGAGAGATTTGGAGTGCGCACCCCTGCCACCTTCGCCTGCCCACTAACCATACGCCTCACTGCATCTCGGATTGAACTGCGGATAGAGTTTTAGCCACCTGCTAGAGTTAAATTAATAACGTACGCTACACACTTAGAGCTTCCAGACAAACAACAAATTGTATGAAACATATTCTTGGTTCTTTCGGTAAAGTCACGTAGAAGGGAAACAATAAAATAATAAAAATATAAAACAATAAAATTCTCACGACGTTTCGACTGCAACACAAGCAATCATCATCAGCTATAATTTGTATGAAACATATTTTTTGCTGTCTCTTCTCTCTTCGTGCAACTTTTCTTTCTACTCCAGTGTTTTTCGATTATATACTCGGTGATTTGTTCATACGGAACCTCGTGGTTGAAGAAGCAGGATTAGAGTATTTGGCTGCTTTAAATATTCTACGCGATAAGCCACTTTCTTGAGCTATAATTTGTGGCCCGGTCGCTTATGAAAAAGAAGCTAAATAGCGCAGCGGGCTTTACATGGTAAGGTAAAAAAATAGGTTAGTTTTATATGTATATATTTCTTAAGTGATTTGTTTACCTTTCCAAAACTTTGCACTCCTATCATGTTTTTGGTTTTGTTTGTTGTAACATTCTGACCCAACCCTAACTGGACGTCGGTGAAAAAGAGCTTTATAGCTCATCAGATTTGTCCAGTATACATAAATATTCTGATTTGTATTCTCTGCCAGGGAAAAACACTTGCAGGAGCGACGTGATTGATGTGCACGCTGCTAATAACCTTGCCGCTCTAGTTGCAGGTGGAGAAGCAGCACAGGGGCGAAGACTACTGCATACGGACACTGAGTGTTCACTATGGGAATGTACGTACACGCACGGTCACACTAGTGCCCACAAGCTCGCAACACGCAATGGATGGCCTAAATGTCGTGCCTTATAACAAATTAACAGTATTAATTCGTCAATAAAGGGTGACTGGGAAATAAAGGATGCATTACCGTTGGGTTATCTCAGGAATCGCAATCAAAAGAGAAAAAAAGCATCCTAGAGGATGCCAGGTGTGGAGATGGAGCAGTGAGATCAGTTTATGTGCAGGAGTGAGATGGATTCTGGCAGCCCTCGACCGAATGGGATTGCGACGCTGTGGGGAGGTCTTCATCCAGCAGTGGCTAGATAATTGCTGTTGATGATGATAATGTCGACCATGAACAGTATGGCACGGTGGCGCGTTGTGCGTGCTTGCCCACAGGAGAGCCGCACCGTCTTCCAGTTCCACTACTCCAACTGGCCAGACCACGACGTGCCCTCCTCCTTCGACCCCATCCTCGAGATGATCGCCATCATGCGCGAGTACCAGGACGATGAGGACAGCCCCATCTGCGTGCATTGCAGGTACCACTAGCACTGTCTGTATGTAGGTATGTATGTTGAACTTGAATTATGAAAAATAAGAATAGGTTATACCCTTTCCTGCAATAAAACAGGTGTTAAGACGTTTACACACCAAATGGGTACCTTTAGCACATGTCCAGGTGCTAGGTGTGGATTTTTACATAGCAGGATTATGAGAAATGCCAGTGGGTTAGGGGTGGTTATTATCCAACTGTAGATTGGCTGATGATGATGATTACCTGAAATGCATGACAACTTTCATCTGGCATTTCATAGGGCACCAGAGTGTCAAATATTATTTGCTCCAAGACCAAGTCCTGGCTTATGAGTCCTTCCTACTTACCGAGATATGAATTATAGAACTCTGCACGAATGTATAAATACGATAGAAAGGTTGTTGTGACCATACTTAAAGATGGTCAACACGTGTTGATTAAGGTTTAAGTTAAATTAAAACTGTGCACGCACAGCAAACCTTTCGAGTAACGTGAGCCGAGCAGCTATTGCCTCGTAGCCACCACAGACGACTAAAAACTCGGTGACGGCATTTGAATGAATGAACAAACAAGAGTCGCAGGCTAATTCATTCATTGTTATCCGGTGTCGTATGAAATACAATGGCGGGGGCGACGTTATGCGACGTGATCTCACGCACACACACACACAGGTGCGGTGCGTTGGGAGCCCGACATGTATTTCCTGCCAGATAGGGTGGTGGTGGCGGCGGCCAGGTGGTGGTACACACAGGAAGGGGGGACGTGGCCGTTGATTGTAGGCCTCGGTTGCAACAGCTGCCCCTTCGCGTGCCCACACTTGGCTCCTCCGTACGCTGCGACGAAACGGAAACGCGTGCAGCGAGCTCATATCTGCATGAGCCGCCTGCGGGGGACTCTCGCTGACGCAGGAAGTTTTGAGTGTTTTTTTTTTATCTTGACTGCATTTGACGTAACGTAAGAAATGAGTTACAACAATTGAAATTTATAACATTTGGTGTTTGTGCCATTCTTGTGGCTCAGGGGCTAATGCGAAGGTGCTGTATTTCACAGGCGGTTATAGTCTGCCAGTAAGGAGCGATATTGGTATGTGTAATCCCAGTTGAACAATTTGCTTGGTGATTTTTCAAGTTTGACAAATTTGGACCACGACACCAGCAGACAATGCTCTACTTACTTCGAATGACGTCAAGGGATCTCTAACGTCCACTGAAGCAGACGGCGGGTATTTTTTTATGGTGACTACACACAGCGCAGTAATAACCAGGGTGGCCTGCTGCATTCAATTTGTGAACCTCTACAACAAGTGGCAGACATGCATGCACTAGCCCATGTCACTGTCCCAAGCGTTATCATGACCACCCCCCCCCATCCCGGTTACAGGCGGATGTATGGAAAACATTAAAAACCTTTATTGGCTCATGTCATTTGAGCAAGTCTCTAACATTAATACAACATTATACTAAGTTTGGAACATCTTTAGGAGATCTATATTGCCCTGCCCAATCACGAGACAGACGAAAAGACGTAACATTATTCGTTATTCGATATCTGAGTTGTCTACGGGGATAAACTATGCACGCGACTATAATATTTGGCGACTGTAATGACAAAAACACATGCATGGCCACTCACTGATTCTGAATTGTTTTTAAAGTGGGCTTCTAGTACACATTAAGGACTGCTCTAATGAAAGTCAATCGCTTCCACAGAATTTGGGGAATGTGAGCTAAGAATGGCAGGGGTTGTGTTCGGGCATTAATGTCTTCATAATGTTTTACTCCATAAAAACCCAGCGGTAAGACTAAAATCCATTGGAGAGTATGCAGCCTTGTATATACCACCCCTTGTAGAGTAAAGAGTCAAACATCTTTTTATTTTAATATGAACCCCATGCACAGTATCTTTTACAGCATTAAAACAGTGAACCTTGTGTGTTTTCGCTACAGCTGGCAACTAACCATTTATGTCTCCATCGCCACATTTAAAGGTTAAACTTTGACAATCAAGGCATCAGTAGTGTACGCGTTCTTAACATTTCAATTTCAATATGTTGCCTTTTACGACGAGATTTTTTTTATGAATATTTATGCTAAAAGAGCCTCTGCTGTGGTTTAAAGTGGCTCCCGAGTTCAAGATTGACTGCTGAAATAAAAAAAATCATGGACCAGTGGAGAATAAATTAAAGGAAAGATTGGAAAGGGTCTCATCGTAAATTGGTCTCTGCCAGATTAGCCGATAGTGTGCCAAATTGAAGAAAAAAAGTTAAATACTGCAACATAACAGCACGTGAGTATTTTCTAAATTTTTTACAATGTAATGAGTTCATAACGTTTTAAAACATGAAATGTCAGGTGGATAAATGGTTGCACCGTTGATTAATGAGTATTACGCAAGTTACGTTTAAGCATGATTGGTTTAGCTCAGTAAAAAAAGGATTGCTCATACAGTGAAGGGATACACAAGGCAGAAATACATCCAACAGATGCCAAATAAAACAACAAAAATATACCAGTGCCAGAGAAGCAGAAAAAATTAATTGGGTAAAATGTCCTGTTGGAGAGAACATACATTCATCATTCTCGACATTAGTTGAAGACTAAGCACAATTCCTGACAATTGCTTAATGATCATAGCAAGGAGTTTCCTTTTGGCCAAGAGTACTCCTTACTGACTCTTGGCTAGAGCCAAACCAATGGGCAAAATCCTTTCAGTTGGCTTTACTCAAACAAGTCTGCGGAGCGTTTAACAGAAGGATGGGTTTTTAGAAAAAAATCTGATAATGCACGGGGGGGCATTCTTTCTCAGTATCGTCATGTGCCGATGTAACCGTGCTTGCCCGTGCTCCTTTCGTGACCTTTTTTTATCGTTGTGGCATGGTGCGGATCCCTCGCCCTCCGAAGCCGCTTGCAACGCCGCGATCAGACCACCTCTCTCCTGCACCGCCTGCGTTTCGCCACGGAACGTCTAGACCCATACGTTTCTCTCGCCCACATTGATTCCCTCGTAACTACAAACATCCTATCTTGACAAGAGGCAGAGATTTTGGCCTGATAGTATGATTGGCCAGAAAATGAGACGCGCTTCTGAATCATGGGTTGTGAAACGTGGTGAGGTAGTTGAGACCATGCCAGCGCTCTGACTTTCACAAAGCAGAACCCTGACTCCTGCTGCAGAGTGCAGTCCATTGCCGTGCTGCATAGTTGAGATCACCTATCGTAATTCCATGAATGTGTTGTGTTTTTTTCAAGACTCGCTTTGATGGCACCCGTCATTCCACTCCACCTTTATACATGTGTAATGCCCTAAAACTCTTGAACCTTTGCACTACATCCTCAATATTAATGCAACCAGCCTGCCTTTTTTGGTTTCCGCTTACTGTAAAATGTGCATCCCCTGTTTTATTTATCTGTGGCTCCAAAAATAAAAAAGGCGAGGATCTAAAGGAAATGTATTAGTTTCGGGTGACTTAGAAATGGGCTCTGGTTACAAAGCTTTCTTCCGCGGATAGGACTCGTAAATTTGTATACTACACAGACGAGCTACTTCAGAAACCTGAAGGTAAACAGGCAGTCAACAGGTGGACAGCGGTCAATGTTAATTATTAATTAGTGTTCACTGCCTCAACGGAATTACGGACTTCACTGCATTGTCTGCATGGGTCGCTCGCTGATCACTGCGTGCTGGAGCCCAATGAGCTACATTGTGGCAAGTCAACATGTTCTGTAAATATTAAACCACAACCTCTGAGAGTTGTGTGAAACTCACCAAGCGGTCGGTTTGAATTAGGCGATTAACTGTGATAACATTGAGGAGGGTAAGCAGAGTGGTAAAGTGGTTAGCATGCTGCGTTACGAACCTGGCGATTTGAGTTCGATTCCCAGCCAGGCCTAAAATCAGTGGCGAATGAATAAAAAAAATTGCTGGAATTTAATTTATATGTATAATACAATACATTGTGGTTCTTTGTCAATACACTGTTGGATGAAGGCCTGCCCATGCTTTATTGAACACGAGGGGGGGGGGTGGGTTGTTTGACCATGCTTCACCACGCTGGTCTGCGCAAGTTGGTAAAAGAGTGCCCGTGACCGTTTCTTATATTATTCAATGCTGATGTTAATCTAATTGTTAAGCAACCCTTCGTCATGAATCCAGCAACCCAGGTTCGATTAATGAGTAACAGGTGATGATAGAGTTGATACTGTCTGCCGCACACCCTCCACCTTTAACAAACCCCACTTACCACGTAGGTAAATTACGGTCAACAAAACCCACACGATCGACAATTACGTGGGGACGCGTCCGTCCATTGGTGAAATAAAAATTGATTGAATTTTTAGTCTATAAATATATAAACATAACATATAACGGTCCTTGATCAATCCCCTGCTATGTGAAGGTCTCCCTACGCCATGTTGGACTTGGGTGTTGTTGGCCATAATTCACCGCGCTGGTCAGAGCGAGATGGTGAAAGGGGGGGATGCCCAGGATCAGTTCAACTATCACTCGCCACTGATGTCGGTAGCCTTGTCAAGGAATCGAACTCGGGGTAGCCGTGCTCAGAGCTCAGTGGGTGAACCGTTGCGCACTGCACTCCCCTGCCAGTATTAACTGCAGTGGGTTATTTCATTGTAGTCATTATGCTTGAGCGTGTATGTGTATGTTTATAAACAGCCTGCCTGGCATGATGTTATCACCGCCCGTGAACTGCAATCGTACATACTGTAGCGCACACTGTTGATGCCAGATGGACTGATAATTATGGATTCACGATCTCGCACATGTTCACACGCCCACCACTGGAAATATTTTAGCAGGGTTTGCAAGCCGCCACCATTGGCTGCAGTAAATTTCCCACTGCGGCAGCGTGGCACGGTTCAGCGTTTCCGCGAGGCTCCTTATACCGTATGATGGATTTGCAGATGCCCCGCTTGTGTAATGACTTTATTTTGTGATGACCTCAGTTTACACGTCATTGAATGCTGTAAGCAAATCACACTGCCCATGTTGAACAATGTTTATCGGGAAAATGTTAATAGATTTAATGGGCGTATTAAGATTAGTGGGAAACGTGTAGGGGTTTTGAATTGAAATATTTTTTTTCTGTATTTCTCTCGCAATGTTCCAATGGAGTATCTATTAATCAGATCACTGTGTATGAAAAGAAAACACATTGATTTATCACAATGCTCTTGTAGTAGTTACAGTACACGTATATGTCCAGCACGTTTGTCTCTCGCTGGAATAGGGCCTTTCCCCATCCAGGCGAGTCGTTGGAGTTGTGTGACCGTGTTGCACCACGTTCATCAACGCGGGGCTGTGAATACGGGGCGCATAAACGCTGGAGCAGAGAGTGCAGCAGGGGATGTTGCTGCACTGCCCTCTGCTGCCCTTAACGTAGTCCCGCAGCATCCTATAACAACCTGGCTGGCTTGTCGATTACTCATCCGAGCACGACTCTGCTTATCGTCTGAGATCTGAAGGGATTGGGTGCAATCTGGGTAGGGATTCAAATAAGTGGTCATACAAATCATTACATGCTGTTTAATATAATGTGTATTACATAACATATACTGTTTACGTACAAACAAATGTGTCCTTATGGAGTAAGTACAATAATGGGTGGAATATATGTATACCCTATGCCAATACGCTTGGACAACAAAATGCTACGCCTTCTGTTTATTGCTGTAGCCTCCTCTAAAAAGTAGATTGAATGCATTGTGTGCAACACTAGGACTGTTTCACCTTGCTGTCTGTGGCTCGTGCGTTTGACTGGTTCACCTTGCTATCTGTGGCTCGTATGTTTGACTGTGGTTCACCTTGCTCTCTGTGGCTCGTATGTTTGACTGTGGTTCACCTTGCTCTCTGTGGCTCGTGCATTTGACGACTGTTCCACCTTGCTAACTGTGGCTCGTGCGTTTGACTGTGGCACGTGCTGTGACTGTAGCGCAGGCTGCGGAAGGACCGGGGCCATTTGCGCAATCGACTACACTCGGAATCTACTCAAGCTCGGGGTGAGCCATCTTGATATTCTATACCACGTTCAGGAACAGGATGTACCAAAAATAAAGTTTAACAAAACATACATGAAAGCGCACCATTTTTTTGTTTGTTTGTCGAGATCATTCATGAAATCGAACCCCGTAGGATCAATGGTAATATGCACTGGAAATCTCGATACCGATAGGATATCGTAGCTTTGAAAGGAGACCTGGCCAGTGGTATATTTAGACAAAGCGCAGTAGACCTTGAGTCAAGATAAGCGGCAGTACACCAGCTGAGTTATGCACCCTTCGTGCTGACCACCCACACTGAAACATATCTATACTGTACGTGTGCAAAGTATGCTCAAGGCTTTGAAAAATTTTTTTTTACAAACTACGTGTCATTTTTAATTGATTACGGCATACCCTCCTCCTTTGGTACGTGCAGTTGTAGCTTGCACTACAGTCGCTTTCCCACACGGCTTTCTGATTTTCAGAGACAACGCAGATGTTTTCTTTTTTTGGAGATTCCATGCATGTTCACACCAACTTACATTCGTCAACGTCCACGGCGCTACTTGCATTTCCAGAGGCCTTTTTGGCGCTGGCCACGTTGAAATTAACTGGACGTTTGTCTTTTTCGCATTTTTACAGCGAACGTGTGGGCAGCCCATCCCACAATATTCGCGTTGTCCAGACAACGTGGACGACTCGCGCTGTCCGCCTTCGGCTATGTTTTCACAATAACTCTGGAGCCTGACGCGTTGCTGGCAGCGTGGAATGTTTTGGCTCTTTTTCACACCCCAGGAAATCTGCAATTTCAATTAGTGTGTTGCTCTCTCTTCTTACGTCTGCCAACCCCCTTTGCGATTGTGATGCAGTGTTATACATCACGATTTCACGAGTCTTGTTGCTTACAAACTGACACGAGCCTTCCAGCCATGAGGTTTTTTTATGATCTCTGGAACCTTTGACAATTAAATAAATATAACGGTTGACATTTCAGCAGGAACAGGTAGAAAGTTGACTCCCTAGGACGATTGCAAGTTAAGCGGATTCTGTCCCATGAACAGGTAGACATTGTGTTAAGAGCACCAAACCCCACATAGCCTATTCAATGAGCGATTGCATCCTGCTGGTAGCCGCAGTTTTACATTTTCGTATAAGGCTTGCCGTGACCCAATGCCACTAATAAGCCACAGTTCAGTGAGACAGTCAGGACAGGTGCTTTTTAAGAAGATAGAGGGACGTGTAATAGCCACTGTCCAATCTAAACTCGTGAAAAGTCGAGGCATACCAGCCTTTTATTAATTGAGATGTTCTGACCACAGCAAGGCCACTGTAGTCGTATCGAAATTGGCCAACATCACAATTGGCTTATATGTGCTCAGAACCTAAACAACAATACCACACCTACCTATGGCATTTTGTATTGTGAAGAGTTCTGTTAACATTGTTTAGGGTGTAATGTTTATATATAGTGGAAGAAACGATGCATCAATTATGCGGGTACTATTGATTCTTAAACGCATGATTCATGCATTGAATGGCATAAGTAAAAATGTTTTTTTTATTTGTGTGTATGAATGTCGTGCATCTGGGTGGTGTGATGACACGTTGGTTCATGCACTGCTATGAACCCCACGACCCAGCCACAGATAACATCAGTGACAAGTGATATATTTTTTTTTACCATACTTTCACCGTGCTGGCCCAACAGGAGCGGTTCTGATATGACTTGCCGCTGATCTTAGCCATGGCCCGGGAATCGAAGTCTGGTTTCTGGGTTTGTAGCGCAGCTCGGGAACTGCTGTGCGCCCACTCCACCACAAACCCCGAGACGTTACACAGAGCATATTCACAGAGGCACTTGCTTAGCATAATTTCTCAGTTAAACTGCACGTTTGATTGTGTAATAAAAATAAGCTATAACCTTTCAGGCAATGTCTCCACATCACGCGTTCGTTTGTTTAATTTCGAATGTGGTGGCGGGCGCGGGTTTTTTTTCTTTTTTTTTGCTGCAGAAAATCCCAGAGAACTTCAGCGTCTTCAACTTGATTCAAGACATGAGGACCCAGCGGCCATCCGCTGTGCAAACCAAGGTAATTTCCCAGCATCAGCGCGGCGGGGCCTGCCTCGTGCCGCGTCTGCTCATCGTCAACGGGGGAAAGTTAATATTACATTCTTCAGTGCACATTGAGGGCCTCCACTTGGCTTAGGTCACATTTATTATTTCTACGTAGCCATGTATGGGCTTTTAATTTAGAAATTCACCAGAATTGTCGTGGCCGCCAATGTTTTTTTTTTGCTTGGTTTGTCATGTTGGCATCGTTATTCATCGCCGGTGCTATCGCATCATTCTAAGTTCCCTTGCTTGGATTGCAAGACGTGTGCGACAACGTCGGTGAAGCGTTCGTGGGCCTACATCGAGGTCAGGGTTGTAGCTGTTCATTCATCTGACAATATTGCGTGTTAAGTGGCCGCTTCGGGGGTCTCGTACGTAAAATAACCAGTCAAAAGGATAACATAGCCAATGACCAAGGCACTCGCAGTGTGTACGGTCTCGTATGATCTTGGAACCTAAGCAGGTTTCAGCCTAGGTAGTGTTTATATGGGCGATCACCATACATGAAATCACAAGGTGTTATGGGATGCTGGGCGCCACGTTGTTAGCAACGGAGGGCAATGCAGCAAAAATCTATTTACTGTAGTGTTCTTATCCACTTCAGCGTTCATATTCCCTGCCTTCACCAAACCGCACTGACAAATTTGGTGAAGTATGGTCAAATAACACGCACTTATTGCACATTGTGGCTGTACAAAAACATACAAAACAATAACAGACTTGCAATAAATCACTGAGAGGGAAAGTAAGCTCTCGACCGTTTGGGTACTGACCATATTTAGGAAATGTCTGTGGACTCGTATTGTATGGATTGATGTTGGCCTTGCTCTTATTGCCCAGTGGGCTTTAACCATTTAAGGAAGTGCCTCGCATCTCAACATGCAGCCTTATAATCAAAGCCCTCAGCAGTTATCAATGACATGTACGCTTACAGTATATAGTTTCCCTCCCCTCCCCCACCCCCCGCCTCTCTTCAAGCTCGTTATTTAAAAATATTTAATAATCTGTCGTCGTTTGAGTGCCTTGTGTTTGTTTTAAAACGCTCGTGTGTGTTGAGCGCTCGACGGAGAGAGCGCATGCCGGCTCTAGCCGAGCTTCCCGTCTCACCCGTTTGTCGCTCGCGTCCCGTGCCCTGCCGCTGCTCCCAGGACCAGTACGAGCTGGTGCACTGCGCAATAGCCCAGCTGTTCCAGCAGCAGATACTGGCATCCAGCCCCTGCTTGAATTCCAACTTGCCTGCGCTCACCACGGTGAGGACAACACAGCGCACCGATGTTCATCCGCCCACAAACCTACTTTGAGGTTTTTTTTTCTTCCCTGGCCGTTTGGCATTTCGCAACGTTTTTGGCCCGTGCCCAGCAAATTTGATTAAACGATAATAATTAATTAGATGCGCCCACATGCATGTGCGCGTAGTCCGTACAGCAACCGCCAACGTTTGGGTCAGGCCTCTTGGATGTTGTCTGTGTAGCGTGGCAATTCTTTTAGTCAACTAAAGAGTTTGACGTTTAAGCAAGGTATTTATTCCCTTTGAACAGTAAACACTGTGGTTCCAGTCCCCATACAAAATACAAACGTATATGTAAGCTGGAGGCCTGAGACCAAATTACCAGAATGTGCCTAATCTTATCAGATCTCAGAAGCCAAGCCGGAGTTGAGCCTGCAAAGTGCTTCAATGATCGACCACAGTTTACAAACCGGGTTGTTATTGGCTGCTACGTGACTACATTGTGGAGAGCAAAGGGAAACGCATCTGATGTTGCACTACTTTTGTCCACTCGCATCTATGCTCCCTGCATCTGTGCTGGTCAAGTGACCCTCACAACCTGCAGGGCATGGGGAGGCCCTCATCGAGCAGTGGATTTCTAAGGCCAGATAGCCAGAATAAGATAGCTTATTACTAAATACTGTATTGCCAAGGTGATTTCGAATTTTTTTAACATTTCAAACTTAATCTTCTTGGTTCTTTCGGTAAAGTCACATAGAATAGAAATAAAACAATAAAATAAAATTCTCACGACGTTTCGGCCACAACACAAGTAGCCTTCTTCAGGTGAAGGAACAGAACTGTCGGGATGACAGCGCTTCAATGAACACTGCTAAGCTTGGCAGCGTCATATCTCGGACCGCATCCGTGAACATAAAGCAGACTAGAAACACGGTAGGACGAACACCTCAGCCGTGGCAGATCACTGTTATCATTCAGTGGGCTCACATGACATTGACTTCTCCAAGACGGAGGTTCTCTGCAAGCCATCCGGCTACCATGAGAGATTCGTTGATGAGGCCATCCACATACAAACACAGAGACAATTTCAACCGAGAAGATGGATTCTGGCTTAGTAACCATTGGAAAGACGTTATAAACCATTTCGGTTCTCGATTGATTGTATTGTACGGTGACTTTCAGACCGCAGTCCATTCGCTGGGTACTGCCTCTTAATACCTTTCACACGATGGTCAATAAATAGTATGGTTTATAGCATGTTGTATAATAATAAATGGTATAACAGTATAATGTTTAACATAATTCATAAGGCAATATATAGTATCGTAATTGTATAGTAAATATACAGCAGTGAGGTATACAGTAGGGTTGGTAGAATAAGACATAGTGTAATATTACAAGTCTAATATTTTATAGTCTAAAGTATAGGGTAGTGTATAGTAACGCATTGTATAATTCAAGGGTGGGGTTTGTCTTTGGCAGTGTATATTACGGTGTATAGTAGTGTAATGTAGAAAAAAGTTTAGTTGGGAGACCTATCAATATAATGCACAATGTTAGAGCTTACATTGGGCTGTGTATACGATATTATACAATGTAGTTTAGATTGGAAGGTATAATATTGTAATGTATAGTAGTCTAGTTTATAGCATAGTTGTAACGCAACACAGGACAGCAGCGCATCGTGGCTGTTTCTCTCTCTCCCCCCTCCTCCGTTCCGAGCATAGATGGACTCGTCCGTCTGAACAAAGCTCATCGCTTTCCGTGGTGCTAACGTTGAAAATCAAAAAGAAACTGCCACTTTTTTCGACATAGAATTGTAATGTATAACGACTTATTGTTAGTAGCTCAGCTGATTGGAGAGTATATTGAGTTTATTGATAACATTGATGTAGTTTCTATTTTAGTTTTTTTATCAGTTTACTATATGGTATTGATAATATAGTGTAGTTTATACCCAATTACTTTATGTTAATAGCTCAACTTATTGAAGAATATATTGAGCACATTTATTATATTGATGTAGTTTATACTTAGTTCTTTCACATCGGCTTATTGTATGATAGTTGGGTAGTTGCAGTTCTTTAGCATCAATATACTAAATGCGTCTTTTGATATGTAAACTCTGACTTTAACATAGCTACTTCCGTGACCAGTTACATGCTAATCCCTCACCCTAACATCATGATAATCTCCCAGTTACATGCTAATTTCTGACTTTAACACCCTGCTAATCCAACACATTAACACAGCTACTTCAATGCTAAATTCTTCTGTTGATATGTAAACTCCTTTGTCAAGGCACTCTGCTCCTCCCACCCAGCTTAAAAGACGCTGCCAAGCTTGGCAGTGTTCATTGAAGCGCTGTCGTCCCGACAGTTCTGTTCCTTAACCTGAAGAAGGCTACTTGTGTTGTGGCTGAAACGTCGTGAGAATTTTATTTTATTATATTTTATTTTTATTATTTTATTTCCATTCTACGTGACTTTACCGAAAGAACCAAGAAGATGAATCCCTGCAGTCACGAAAGCTTTAAATCGAAATTTCAAACTTAAGTTTATAGGATTTTCTGAAGTGGGTCACGGTAGCCATACCCAGACCTAGAATCTGAAGAAATGTTGATGCTGCAGCCCATGGCATGAATGAGTGTTGTGGACATGGGAGCAAGATCGCAGGTGATTAGTTTGAATTTGATTGTTCATCGGCGTTGAACGGTGGGCATTAACCCCCAAGCGACACCTTGGCACGCACGTTCTGGCTCTCATTTCCTATGTTCGTGCATCCTTTGGGTTTGTAAAAAAAATCCAAGTATCGTTGAATAAAGTAAGCAGCGTTCATGGGCTTTAACTGATATGTGCCGGTAAGCCAAGCTGGCGTTTCCTCGACCCACGTTGCGGTAACACAATCTCGTCTTCCCTCTTCCCCCGTCGGCTGTGGATTAAATCGTTCACCTAATGTTAGGAGCACTCCGTTTGACTGCCAGCAGGAAATGATGTGCCCGGAGAAATGTGCCACAAAACAGTTTTTTCACGCACGTTTTGAAAAATATTTTTTTTATTTAAAAAAAACCCAACCCCACACCGTTATATAAAAGCCCACACCACTTGGCTTCTGGGGATTTTTCCATTTTACTTACAAATTTTGAATTGCATAAATGAGCCATATCACAGTGCATTGTGTTGGGCATCTTAATGTTTAAATATTCACTTTCCTATGCACACAGGGCCATTGATATAATGGGAATGAGAGTATAATACAAGCAACCCACGCAGCTTTTTATTAATTCATTGTCGCAACATTGTAAGAGCTTGAGAGAGAGAGAGCCATTGCGTGAACTCTCCATTATTTTTCTCCTGTGAGAACTTCCTCCTACGTGAACTCCCCTTCTCCTTAGAATACACTTTCGGACCGCAGATAACCATCCCAGGCAAGTGGCCATGCATGCTGCATGTGTGTGGCCAAAGAGCAGCATATGCATAATATAACAAAATAAAGAATGCCTCCTTCCTGTATTTCTCTCCGGAAAAAAACACATTTATTTTTACTAAATCCATCGTCATCACAGCCTTTTTGGGTGTGCATCTTATCAGCAGCATTGATTCGATACAAGTAACCTCTCAACCAGTTTTGACATTTGGTTTTCTCACCAGCAGTCGGGCTTGCTTGAACCAATGCTGGTGAAGTGACCGATGTTTATTGGCAAGGACCCTTGAAAAAGATGTACTCCCAGAAGGCCGTACAGCTGATGAGTTGTGTCATGAAAACTTTTTTTTATGTGGAGAGACAAATATGGGGAAGAGGCAGAAATATATTTTAATTAGCACTCCACAACACCACTTAATGATTCTGATGTCCTATAGTATAATTTGAATGAATCATTTAATAATATTATACAGTATAATAGCTATGCACAACCTAATCCAGAAATTGAAGACTAAAAGTGGCAACGGGCTGTGAGAATTGTAAATCTCGACTACGAATGGCTTTTTATTTCCCCTGAGGCCAAAATCTTTTCACTACATGCAGCAACCTCCTGGACCCGTGTCTTTTTGTATTTCTGAAGACGCGTGGTGACATTGAAGAATGTCGATAACAAAAGGCTCGACACACTCGGCAACAAGATTGCCCTTAGAGAGAAACGTATATAGTCGGCAACATTTTGGGCAATGGCCCTTCTTTATTGCGCTTAAAGAAGAAAGTCAATTTGCCTGAAACATCGTCAGTTTTATAGATTGTATTTGTCTTTTTACGGAAGTGTTGACGTGTCCGGGTTATTTTTTGTTCATTGTGCACCCGCTGCCAACGTGAACAGCATTGCCAAGTCTACATGTATCGACTCTGTGATGTTTAATGCGTTTGTTCATTCATTAATATGAGTTCTAGTATGATGAAGTATTAATGCTTCCGAACCTCAGATTAGCATGGTTGGCTACGTACGGTGCAAAATAAGTTCAACGTGCATATGTAAGCATAGCAGTTGAGGTTTTGTCGATGTACAATGTTAACATTATTAATGTTCCTGTATTAAAAGGAATTGGTTGTGTCTCTTGTGCTGAGAAGTTGAGCAAAACCAACATCCCAATTTGGTGGAAAAATAATGAGGATGTGGACAGAGCATTCTGACATTACTGTTGACGGAGCACACTCGCGTAGAATCGGTTACCTTTTTAAAACAAATTTTATATATATATTTTTTTTACACTCACTTTCAGACCTGCTTGTGATGAGTAAACATGACAGACACGTCCTCGTGCAATTTACCACGCAGGGAGAAGTCTGTGCTTTGTGCAAGATGAATGCTGTACGGCAGCGTGCAAAGCTGCGTATCTTTTTCTCCTCCTTTGCGGAGCGAAAACAACGGGAAAGTGCTCAGGTTAGGCGCGGGTGGGTGCAGTGTAGCTCCGGTCATCGTGAAAACAACTTGACGCAGACCTCCTGCTGTGCTGTTGGCTGTCGGTGTTTGGTGGCTGGCCTCGGGCGGTAGTAAACCATGTGCTCACCAATCTAGCAGTGAACAGAGGT